CTAGAGAGTAGGAAAGGATGTGAAAGGAGATCACTTTAGAGAAGAAAACTTTCCGTCGCTGTCCGGATTCGAACCCAGGACCTATTGAATGAGAGGCGATCACCTTAACCTGTGTGCCACGAGAGCCCCCATTTTGCTGGTTGATGTGATCCCAGTCTCTTGACAGTGAGCATATTATATTATGTATATATAATATACAGGAGGTGGGGGTGGAGTTTGGGTGTAGGAGAGAAGGGCGGTCCGGAGTCCACAACACAAGTGAAGATGTGAGCAAACAAATAGCTGCGTTAATGTGAAAATGCGAAATTGTATAGACTTAACGCCCGTTGTGGCATGTGACGCTATAAAATCATTTAAGACGCTGGGCTTCCAAACTTGGACGTAATCTCAGACAGTACTGAGCCAAAAGAGCGGGGAGCCTTAAAAGCACCCTAAGACAACCCAGTTCAGAATACTGCACTGAGGATTCAAACTAGAGCCTTCCGCATCATAGTACAACATGATACCAACCGAGTTAACAGTGCGCCAAGTGAAATGCTCAACATGAAAACTCCAGTATTAGGCAGAAAACATCAAACAACCGATAAAGAATTGTTTTTGTAGACTTTCCCGTATCAGCATAATCAAACAACGAATGAAATTTCTTTCCAACAGTTCCAGCAGGGCGTATAATTAACTAAATAATCCTCCTGGCATTTAGAACAGACTACTATAACTTTGTGCATTACTTTCTGTTATATTTCGTTTAAAAAGCAATTGCATGACAGGCTCTCAAGAAAGAAATATACTTTAACTAATTATCACAACATTTTATAGTAGTTTTTTTTTGGCTTACTGAATCGTTATGTCTCGTTCGACTAAATTGTAGCACAACGTGAGCATCAGATTAAAATTCAGGTAGCATTGCGTCTGTGCATTTCGCTATCCGCGTTTGGAGCATTCAAATACTTTCGACAAAATGTGAAAAAAACTAAACTTTTTTATTAGCGAAATACGTGTTTTAGTCTCTTGACTTTTACAATGTATATTTAGGTTATCATGAAATAGCCATGTAAAGTAAAATGCGAGAGCTAATTTTTAAGATTGTGAATAGGTCAAATGCCTTAAGACAGGGTCTTTCTAATTTAGTTCTATACGCGGATAGCAAAGGCAATGAATATTGGTCTAGTTAGTTTTTGGGATTTTTTCTCGTCCCTAAGCATAACGATGGCACTGGCTGCAACTGTGTCTTCTCAATATAGTCTACTGTTAGCTGTTATCACTAAACTTTCTGTCTGTGTAAGACCAGTGCTGTTCCAATACTAATCAAAATAAATGTAAAGTCCATATAGTAGGACATGCTGCAGAACGCTTTCTATGCGCTATATAAATGCATATTATTATCATCATCATCATCATCATCATTATTACTATTATTATTATTATTATTATTATTATTATAATTATTATTATTATTATTATTATTATTATTATTATTATTATTATTATTAATAATATTATTAATATTATTTTAATACATAAGCCGCAATGCCAAAAAATTACCCAAATGCTTATTTGAAGGGCTACCGTTTGCTACACTAATTAAGAGAGGCTAGAATTCTCTTTAAGAAGGGACCAATCTACCATTTCGGCACAATTCAATCAAACTTTTCAAAATCAATCTTGGTTGGTTTTCTATGTCACAATGCGGTTTATTTGGATACAAATTTAGCCAATCAGGGGGCAAGTACGTGTCATGTGAAACACATCGGGATCAGAATCTTTGTGTGTGGAATGAGATGCCCTAAAAATGAACTTCTTCTTCCAAAGAAGCCAATCTGTTTGCCGTAGTCTGTTGTGTCAACCAGTTAATTCTATCAGTTTAAACATGGGTTTGATAAAACTTTGTGTAGTTTGCTCTGGAAATTACTATTATTTCTACTAAGTATTACTATCATGCAGCAATGAGGAGTCTCACTGTTTTACCACAGAGGTAGGCCTCTCAGAATGCGTGTTTGTGTGTATATTATGTGTGTATGTGTCTGTTCGTAAGTTTGTGCATGTGTGTTAAGATGAGAAGGTTTTTTATTCAATTTTGAGGCCATTGGCCTTTCTAATACCACAGTATTACTCTTCATTACTATTAAGGCCATCTGCTACAGGCAATTTTCCATGTTTACCCGCTTCGACCATGCAATTTTCTCTCTCCTTTTTGGAGGCCTAGTCCATTCCCCTCTAAGTTTCAAGCGCTCGGTTCAATCAATTATGTTTTGGTCAAAGGCAGAAAAGAGATACCAACACACGCAATAACAAAATATATCTGTCTATCGTGAAACTTGAGTAAATCTCAAAGTTCTATATACAGTCTGGCACGCATATATGCACTTAATCTTTTAACTTGCGTTCTCTCTCTCTCTCTCTCTCTCTCTCTCTCTCTCTCTCTCTCTCTCTCTCTCGCTCTCTCTCTCTCGCTCTCTCTAACAAACACGGTGTGTTTTATGCAATATGAGTCAATAGGCCTTAAACACAGAAAAATCACTTATTCACTTTCACACACATGCACACATATACAAACAAACACACGGACACACACGGGCACACACGCACACACACACACACACACACACACACACACACACACACACACACACACACACACACAAATACAAACGCACACATAGACACAGTAATGCTTTCTTAGAGGCCTATTTTAGTAGAGAAACGGTTAGGCTCTTCATTGCTGTACATAAACACAAGAGTTAGAGGGAGTTGCTTTTATCGAGGAACGTTTTCCTTTTATTCTCTGTTTCCCTGAGCTGACGTCATTTAAAAAAAAAGTACAATATACAGATTTACAAGATTTATAGAAGAGCTGAAAAACTGAATGCTGTTACGAAGAAAACAAGCTCTAAGGAAACGTCCCAAGTCATAAAAAACCCCAAACAGATACCGTTTTGGTAATACAATGTACTTGTGACTTCCTTGGTAGCTTAAAGAAAATACTGTTTTCTTTGTCAGAATACTAAGTTTTTAAAAATCTCCTGTAAATCTGTAAAAGCTGCATAATAATATGATATATATACATATATGTATATATATATATATATATATATATATATATATATATATATATATATATATATATATATATATATATATATATATATTAATGACCACAGTAGTATCCTGGGTTTGAAAATGGTTGTTGTTGTTGCTTTCAAATTCCTTTGGCTTTGTGCATTTCACTCTTGGCAGCGCAATGCATCCCTCAAGAAACCACATGTCCTTGATAGAGGCATTTATTTTCGTTTAGGGGTTGTAAAGGCTTGTATGCATCCCTGTGGGATCTCAGGTAGGCGGTAGTCTTATCCTGAAATCGGCTTGTGCCCAAACATCTTGCCACAAGAGAACAAAGGTGCAATGTTCACTCTCCTGTTTTCCATCAACCTTCACAGGGATTTCTTAGATAGTAAACAATTATAGGGGGTGCGGGCACACTCTAGTTCTGAGAGATGGGAGCCACAAAGTGCAACAAATGACAAGTGATCGTCTGAGCAGTCCAGTAAGGGGTCCCATTGAGTAAGGGGTAACGCGTTCCTTCCACAGCGAGTCATCTTCATCGCCATGCGTAGCCCAATTCACACCACCTGTTGTCTCCTGGCTATCTGCTGTTAACATTTCCGTTCATGGAGCAGAATAATCCAAAGGATGGCCAAATCTACTCAGACAGAGGATCGTCGCGTCATGGATCAGCGAGCATTTGCAAGGATATGTGGGAACCTTGCCCCGTCTATTGAGCTCCCATGAGAGGAAGGGAAGAAGATGTCGAGTGAGGTCCTGAATGAACAGGTCGTCCTGCTGAGACACCAGAACTACCATAATGGTGGATGTGTACGGACCCTTCTACGAGCCGAAGGGTCGTTGCTCACATCGCACCTCACAGGGCTATTGTACCTCCTAGCCAGAGCTCCGTCTACAACCCTTGCTCCTATACCTTTCCTCCTTTCCACGGAGCAGGGGTCCCCAGCCTGCTCGACGAGGACGGGGGGTTGACTTAGCTGAGACTGGCTTGCCAGAGAGCGTCTAGAGTTTCATCCTCGACCCCTGCAGTCATTGAAAATGGTTAAACGGTATAGTTTTAACGCCCCTATCAACACTGTTAAGTTATTTAAGAGAAGGGACCTCCGAGTTTAACCGAGCCAAATGAGAAATTCGTGTAAAGTGCCTCTTCCACGGACACAGCGTCACACCAAGCTTAGGTTCGAACTCCCGATCCCGCAATATCACGCACTATTACGAGTCCAGCAGCCTAACCGCTAGACTATCGACGCGACATTCTGGGATTGTACTCACACGCAGGTTTGAAGAGCAATAAACATATTCATGATCCTAACTATCAGGGTAAAACAATGTGTGTGATATGAGGGTGAAATTAAGCGCTCATCATAATAAGAGAATCAATGACTACAGATCTTTTCCCGCCTGTTAAGTGAACTTTATCAATTTCTTTTTGGATCAACAGCGTCTATATCAATTTTAAAAGATTTCTGTGTGGATTTTAACGGACAAATATTGATGAAAAAAAAGGGGGGTTAATAATAGAAATGAAAATTGGCAGTTACCAAGGACACTCGAACTTTGGCAGCCATTTTCTCGCTAACTTTACTTCTGACATCAGGAGATCCCCACCTCCCTCCTTACCAAATGTCTCGATTTCGGGTAAAGATATATGGGTATTTTTTCTCCAGAAGCAAGGAAAATAAACAAGTTTTAAGATGATATCAATTATTTCACATTATGTCGAACGACGGATGGGCGCCTGATTCCATTGTGTCAAGATGCATAATGATATGTAGAATTACAAGTGATTAACTCTTCATGTGAGAGAAACAGCATTGAGATCTGAATGTTTCTGTTCCAAGCAATGTTTTGTTTTTTCTTTGTGCGTGCATGCTTTGACTTTTTCAATATTACCTCATCCCTTGTTCTGTCTTTGTGCGTGCCTTTTTTTATTAGGTTCATCTTACCCCAGAACATTCCATCAACTCCACCTTCCCCAGAATGCCTCAGCCCAGAAGCCTCGCCCACAAGCACTCGTCCTTCGTTCCCTCCTCCTCCTCCTCCTCCCCCCAGCGTCGCCCCGCCCATGTGGCCACGCCCACCTCCGTGCTCCTGGCGGTGTCGCTAGTGCTGTCGCTGTGCCCCTGGTCCGTGTGCGGATTCCCGCGGGAGAGGCGCCAGTACTTCACCTCCTGCTGGGGCTGGGGGGCCAGCTGCTCCCTCCACCCGGCCGGCCGCGGTCAGCCTCCCCCTCTGGCCATCAGCAGACCCATCCAGCGTCAGCAGCCCTCGCCCGTGCAGCAGGAGCAGCAGCAGCCCATCAGCAAGGCCAGGACCAGGGCGGGCATACCCAGCATTGTCACGTCAGGTCAGTTTTTGGCGGTGGTGCTGCTTGTTGTTCTTGCTGTTGGCGGTGGTGGGGCTGGTTGATGTTGTTGTTGTTGTTTTTGGCGGTGGTGGTGGTGGTGGTGGTGGTGGTTGTGATTGTG